AGTCTGGTACCAATGGCTAAGAAGAATATGATTTTTTGGAAGCCGTGCGAAAAAAAATTGATAAATCTGCTGATTATATGTGTTTTGCTGCGTATGATTAAAATTAACAGAATAATTTGTTTCTAAAAGCGAAGAAATGTGATCAAATCAATCCTTCTCTTCATGTATAAACAGAGAGGATCAGTCTGTTTTCTTGTAAGAATCAATTGAAAAACTTTATTTTATACAGTCAGCACTAGAACAAATTACAAATTGTTTAGATTTTGCACCACAGTTATCAGATGAAAATGGAGTGTAACGCATAAATTTTATCCGCCGCAGGGAAGACGACCCAGACCCAGACGTAAGTAATGTGTTTCTGCCTGAAAAATTCAAAATTATCTAAGCCTAATGGGCCTCGCGCTTATACACACTAAAAAGTGTCGCAAAAACATGACATCATGATTTTCACCTGACAAAAGAAATAGAAAAACAATTCGTCTGAAACATGGGCTTTATCAATGATGGGCGAGATTTTTGTTCATGTTATTTTTTCTCCAATGACATGATCAATGACACAATAGAGCTTAAAAAACAAGATCATTCCAAAACATCAGATGATGATCCGTTTTTTTGGTTAGATCTCTCATAAGTTTTTATGGCAATTTTATTATTTTTATTTATCCCTTTTATGGCAAAATGAAGGTTCAGTTGCCCATTGTATGGTCATGCTTTCGTATTCAGACTGCCTGACTGCAGGAAACTAATTAAGACGCAGGGGTGGAGTTATGACTTTCTCGAAGGGAAAGAGGGGCGCCCCGCCCCCTTCAAAGTTAGTATACATCGGCGACAACGGCGATTGTAGGAAAATTGTTGGTTTGATCTACCGAAAATGGATGTCATGAAGTACTAACAAAAGGGGGACCCATTGATTAGTATGGAGGTCCCCCTCCCCTCCTCTCCCCTCCTATATCCGCCCCTGATACCACGTGCATGTTGTTTGTAACGACCCAGGAAAATTAGGGTTACTTTTTTCATTAGAAATACTCTCTATTGAGGGATAATTTATAAAGAAACAGCAGAGAGACGCGAGCGAAAGGCCGTTGGAGGTCGTTTTTGAAGACATTCTGCTTATTTGAAAAAAAAAAAACTCGCAAGAAGATAAAAAAATGTTTTTGAAATCATTTTGCTGATGATAATAAATTAAAAATTTTATTAAAATATTATTAAAGTAAAACAACAATTCTCGCATCAGGGCAAAATCCTGAATGCTCCAAATGCCCATTAACTAGTCTGGAAGTGTTTTAGTGAAAGTTTTTGTAGTCGAAATGAAATATTAGCGAGCGAGCAGGCTGCAAAAGCTTATTTTAAAGCTAACGTTAGCTTAATTTAAGCCGTGAAAATTTATTTTTACTCGTGTTAAGTAGCTTTCTCAGTTTTTAGCGCCTAAAAAACTGCAAAAAAATGAAAATTATTTTTATATATATTTTTTGTTTTCTAACCATTTTTCCACAAAAAATGGTGTTCAAGTTGTTGGTTTTATTATGAATACCGAATATGCCTTTGCTCTAGTTTCTCGTTGTTTGTATTCAGACTTTGTGTTCAGACGTGTTTTAGTTTTTTTTCTTTTTTTCATTTTCTTACTGTTTTCCACGCAAAGTTATAAACTCAAAAAAATCATCGAAATGGGCTGAGCGATATATCATATTGAAGACCTTTTAGTCGTGGTTCGGAAAAAAGCAAAAAGTTAAAAACCTATTTTTTCAGTGTTGAGAAAAACTGGTTTGAAATTTTTGATTTTTGGTCGTATTTTGAGCTAAAAAGGTGAGCGTGCAGGCTTACAATAGCTCATTTAGGCAGAAGTAAGCTGTGAAAACTTGGTTTCACTTAATTAAAATTAGTTTTTGGAGTTTTTTAACTCCGTTTTAGGCTGTCAAAAATTTCAAAAATTCAAAAAAAAATCTGCATAAAAAAATTGAAAAAATTTTTTTCAAAGTTTTTTTCCTGTATCATTTTTCTACATACCTTTTGTCCAGTTTGCCTATTTCACCGTGACTGTCGAATCTACCTTAGATCTTGTTTTTTGTTCAGATTCTTTCATCCCAGAAATATAGAACACAAACTTGAAAAAAAAAATTTTTTTTCTATGACTATGGTTGCAACATTCTGTGCTACTTGCACAGTACCCGGCTAACCTTGTTTTACTTTTGGGCTTGTTAGCAGTATTTTTTTTCAATTTGTTTGATCCCATTTGACGAATTAAGACTGTCTGCCAACTGATTAACGTTGCCAATCATTGGGTGCTCAAGTTTCGCCAGGACTGTTAGGTGATATTTATGATCCTGCTTACTTAGGCATTTAACATATGGGTGGCTATGTGCGGAATGGGGGCTAGAAAATTAGACGACAAGCAAATTAGACGACCGTAAAGAAACGGAATTTACGGACAACCAGAATTTACTCAACCAAAAGTTAATCTAAATCTGTAAACAATTTTCACGCAATTTTCACGCAGGATATTGTCTAAATTGGACAAACAGTATTTACTCAGCAAAAAGATCATTTAAGTCTGTAAACAAGTTTCACGCAATTTGCACTCAAATTTTTGTCTAATTTCCGTTATTTTTTGATCGTCTAAACTCCTGTCGGCTAAGTTCCCAATCCCCGTGGGGAATGTAGATATAGGGCTGCTCTTTCGCCTGTGCAGCTGTTCCAAGCCGGCGAAAGTGCTCTATGTATACGCTACGCTACCTTGCTGGTAAATAAATAATAATACAATACGGTTCCTGCAAATAGCAGAGGGGCTATCAGTAGGGCTTAACAGTGCTATGGGGTATAGTCCATTTGTATTTTCTCCCCACATTCCAGACTGTGTCATTTTGTTGAGGGATGCTCTTTTTTTTCAACTCAAGGCTAGATTTTTTTTTGGGTCTAGAGCTTTCACGTGGTACCACTATTGCAGCCGAAATTGGTGACGTTGTGGTAGACCTGAAGCTAGAGGTCAAGTGAGAGCTCGTCCTCACACAATATCATTGCCATGGGGTGGGATCGAATACACGATCTGACAATTTCAGAGTGAACGCCTTGCCACTATACTAAGTGCCTCTAAATGCAATAAGAACTGCTGCAATCTGAACTACATTTTCTTTCACGCTTGAGCGGCAACAGAACAGCAAGCCCGCATTTACAAAGATTTTCATCGCTAGTTCATCGCCACTGGTGATAAGGTTGTTGAGCTTGAAAAAAACTAGTATAAGAAAAAACTGCTTTAAAAATATGAAAGCATGATCAACAAAATTAGGGGAAAAACACTGCGGCAACCAAAAACAAAACAAAAAAAAACTGTTAAAAAATGATTTCACAAGCGTTTTTGAAAACCGATAGATAACAGTCTGTTGGTTCTCAAAGGTCAAGTTAAATTTTTTTTACTAATTCAAAAAAGTTGGTATGATTGATTAAAAAATTTCGATAACCAAAATGAGTTTTTGACGAATTTCTTAAAAAAGTAAAATAATGCGATTATCATTTTCCTGAGTGCATATTTGGAAAGTTGTAGTAACAAATAGTTACAATAGTAACCGTGTGCGGTAAGATTTAAGAAAGTGTTGACTGATACTTAAGCACATTGTTTGCAAATAATTTTTTATTCAACTTTTTATTAGATCAACTTTATATTAAAAAATAAAGGATTGCGAGGTGTAAACAGAAACAAACAATTCAGTATTCTTCTTCATAATCATAATCCGATGAGTTCATAAAGTAAGGCATTGGTAGGCTGATCAATGGCTTGTTTCGCATGGCGTGCATGAAATAAAGCGTGAAAACAGTGGTCACAATTCCATAAGCAATGGCTGAGAGTCGGTCAACAACTCGTGCCAAAATTTTCCACTCTTCGCTTAGAATATTTCGCTGATGTTTTGACACATTTTCAACAGCCACGTCTCGTAAATGAGTTTCTACCTTGAGAAGCAATGTCAAAACTTCTTTTATTTGTAGCTCTTTTGGAATTTTTGCAGGTTTCATGTTTAATTTAGTCGTACTGAGTAAAATTTCCGAATTATTCTGTTGGGCGGAAAGGCTGAAACTTGACTTCGTTTTTCGTGTTTCGAAAGTACTAAATTTGTGCTGCTTTCTCCTTGCAATTCTGGATTTTCTTCTGACTACTTTGCCGTAAAGTCTTTTTAGCGCTTTTTCTGCGCCGAAGCCTAACATGGGCGCAATGTAATTGAACAACACTTTTTTCACGCCGCCGGGTATCGGTTCAAGGTGCATGTGTTCTCCTCTGAAGTGAAAAGATATCACGATGGTCGTCATGAAAATTGAGATGGCAACTATTCCGATACAAGCAAGGTAGTAATGTCCGATAATAGGAAACGATTCGGACGATGCTGGAATATGATTGGTCACGACTAGTAAATTGACGCAAAATGTGAGGAAAACTGTCACCGAGAAGGTAATTTTTTCTCCTGACTCAATTGGAAGTAGGAAGGCAATAGTGCTGAGAGCGCAGATTAAAGCGGTGGGAATGATGACGTTTTTCTCGAAGAACTCAGGCTTGCGTTCAAACAAGAATATGAATCGCAGATAGGGGTAGACTGCATCAAAACCAATTCAAACTCAAAAGACGACATACAAATTTAAACTTAACTTCAAAGGGAAGAGAACTCTCCAAAAATGTCCTAAAAATTTTCAAAACGAAAACCAGCTGCATCGATAGCCTTCAAAAGTAATACGTCACGCCAACCTTTCAAGTCACGCCAAGCTTTCAATACAATTTTTCAAAACTCGTAACCAAAATAAGTCGAGCCAAGAGTTATTTTTGAGGGTCCAATTAACAATTTTTTCCTCCATTTTCCATTTAGCCAAAACGTTATATACTCATGTTGAATCGAATTGTTCATATCACAGAAACATATTTCAACTCTCGCAAAACGAAATGACGGATTTTTCAAGGAGATGCTTTTTTAATGGAAAGCTCTTAACATGATGGTTTCTTGAAGAGGGGGGAGGGGGGTTCTAAACTATATCCTAAAATTAGAGTGAACTAGGGAGTGTTGAGTTGAATTTGGCATTCCTAGTTCGCTTTGTTCGGACTCAGCGAGTGAGATGTCGATGGTGACCTCTTCCCTTAGCACAGTGTGTTCTATGAGTGCCCACTCGTGGTGTTCTATGAACCCAGTGGCTGCCAGAGTGCCCCTGTCGTAGTCGAACACCTGGATGTCCACCTGGCTGCAAACAAAACCACCAAAAGCGTGAACAAGAACAACTGGTTGATGTGCAAGTATACACAATCATCTGAAGAAGAAGAAGAAGAAAGAACACTTGAATTACTATACAATAAAAAGCCGAGGCATCAGTGTAGCAAAGTGTAAATAATAAAATTGGTTATAAATTCATTGGTTACATCAAACAAAAACAAAACATCAGAAAACAAGCAATAAACAAAACAAAAAAAAAACAAAATCGGTTACAGTTCGGAAATTGGTTGATTAAAGTATATGAAGTTTCGGATACTATAGAAAATTAAAGATTTAAGAATTAGGAACAAGCTGGTAATAAAACTTTACAAACAATTTTACAGATAGTCCAATTATACAACGTATATACAGAGTATATACAGTTTCTCTTTCAAGCAATGTGTGAAAAATTAAACTGAATTAAAAAATATAGAACTAGCAAAAACGGTAATCACGCCACGTATTTGTATTAGTACATATAGGATTGTTTCTCAATTCACTCACGTAAAATTCTTTCAATTTTTTCTTGAATTCTGTTTTCGATTTTTCTAAATTGCGCAAAATTATGGGCAGTGAATTCCATTTTTTAGAAGTCAAATGAAAAAATGATTTTTGTAGAGAAGCAGTCGAACAATGTTTGTCAAAAATAATTTGTTTCGTTCTTTCGTTGAGCCTATAATTGTCAGTCGGTAGTCTCAGTGTATTTTCAAAAGCCTTCTTTTTGTTTGTAAGATATTGGTATAAGTATGTTATACACTTTAACTCAATTCTTTTCTCGATTCCAATGAACGATTTGCTAATGCGAAGAAGGGAAGAAGATTTAAAATTCGATCTGAAATATGTTCTTTTTAGCGCCCAGTTCAACTGTTTCTCCAGAGATAGCATCAAAGTAGCATTAATTTGTTGTAAAAAAATTGCTGAATAATCTAAATGTGATAAAACAAGACAATGAAGCAAGGCAACTAATGATAATGTCGGCAGTTGTTGTCCAATTGTATCAATAGTTTTAATCCCTTGGGCCATTTTTTGGAGAATTGTTTTGATTTGAGCATGAAAAGATAAACTTGAATCAAGAATTATGCCTAAATATTTGCATTCTGATTTTTTGGCTACATAATGCCCACTAATTACTAGTTTATCAGTATCCACATTTTTGCTATCATTTTTTTGACAAAATGTTATAAATTCCGATTTAGATGCATTCAGATTCAATTGGTTCTCTGCAAAAAATTCCGTTAGATTATTGAGTGATTTTTGCAATCGATTCAAAGCATCCTCAGAAATTATAGAAGAGGAAAAAACCATACAGTCGTCAGCATATTGAACTAAAGTACAACCCTCATATAATCGCTCTTGTATGTCATTAACATAAATATTGAACAACAACGGACCAAGTACCGTTCCTTGTGGGACACCTCGTTTTATTTCAATCCAGTCTGAAAAAATTCCATTGACGTTTACTCTTTGAATACGTTTGTTTAGGAAGCTAGCAATTAAAGCATTTGCTCCATTTGAAAAACCGAGAGAAAGCATTTTTTCAATTAAAACTTCATGCGAAATAGAATCAAAAGCCTTGGACAGATCTAATAAAGCTGCATGTACGATTTTTTTTGAATCTATTTGATTTCGAATACTTTCTGTCACATAAACAAGAGCATCTTGTGTTGAAATGTTTTTGCGAAATCCGAATTGAAATGGTGTCATTATTTGAAATTTGTCAAGATGTTCTGTTATTTGGGCATGTAAAATTTTTTCAAAAATTTTAGAAAAAGCACAAGTTATTGATATTGGCCGATAATTTTTTGCATCCATTGGGTCATCTTTTTTGAACAAAGGGGTTACGTTTGCTTTTTTCAGTTCGATCGGGAAAATGTTCTCATCTAAGCAAGTATTTATGACAAAAGTTAAATGTGGAACTATAACTGATTGACCGTCAATGATTGCCCAAGCAGGTACGGTACAAGGTCCGAGAGGTTTTCCAACCTTGATTTTTCGAACTATATCAAAGCATTGCTTCACTGTAATGTGTTGAAAATGAAAAGATGCAGATTCAGAGGCAGATTTGTTGTAATTCGGAGGCTTTTTAGCGCCGAAAAATTCGCCTAAGTTTGAAAAAATATAATTTAAATGATTGGCAATTTTTTTGTCTTGGGTTATCATTTCACTGAAGGAATTTCGTAGAACTGTAATTCGATGGTTGCCAGAACATGTACCTCTAACTTGGTTAATATATTTCCATTTTTGTTGGATAGTGCTGAGAAGTGAAAAACAATTTTTTGAATGATCGAATTGTTTACTTCTAATCAATTTGCTCATTTGATTACGTAAAAACTGGTACTTTGACCAATTATCGCTTGTGCTTTGACTGCGATATGATCTGAGTGAATTCTGTTTCTTAGTCAACAATTGCTGACATTCTGAATCGAACCATTCCGTTTTCAACACGTTTTTTGGTTTAAAATTACAAACAAACTTTTTTTCGATAGGAGCATGTTGCTGTAGAGCACAAGAAATTAAATAAATCATCGTCGAGAACATGTTTTGTGCGTCTGTACATTGATATAAGAGATACCAAGGAAGAGCGGAGAGTGAATTGCAAAATTCATTTTTCTGATAATTTTTCTTATTGAAAGTCGTAATTATCCTCGGTAAAATTTTGCCGCATTTTATATCCGTCAAAATAAATGAAGCAAAATGGTCGGTTTTATAAGGTGTATCAAAACAAAACTCAATGCCGTTTGTTTCATAGTCACTGATTATGTAGTCGATATGAGTTTTTGTTGAGGAACTAATTCTGGTCTCATCGTTTGGACAAAAAACCTTCAATCCATATGGAATAATTATAGAATCTAAATTTTCTTTTTCTTTGCTATCCAGATAATTTATGTTATAATCACCCAAAAGCGTAATTTTAGTAGAAACTGAAAAAGCATTATCTATGTTAAGCGTTAATTGTTCCAAAAAATCAATAAAGTTTGATCTGCTTGGGTTATAACACAAATTAACTAACATTTTTTCTTTACTCGAAATGTTAAATGTAGATTTGCACTCAACCCACACTGACTCATATTTTTCTTTATCAAATAAATTTAGATCAGGCCTCAATTTCGGAGCCAATTTGACTGGTATATATAACAAAACGCCACCGCCTTTCTTTTTTACCGCTGATTGCCTATCATATCTGAACATCGCATGCGTTCTAGGTTGGAAATTCCATAAATTGTCACTATCTTCTTTTTTAAGCCACGTTTCGGAAATTCCTATAATTGTGTTTTCGCCCATATCATCAAGAAATTTTTTCAATTGCATCCGTTTTCTAATAATACTTTGAAAATTCAAATGAACAAATTTAAGATTTGCACAATTTTTTGAGCAGATACCGTAGACTGTTTCAATGGTTTCGATAGGACCAGGGTTTTTTTCAACATCCCCACTTTGGGTCAGTAACAACGCGAAAAGGAAAAGATGAGTCAGTGTGGTAGCTCTCCGCTCATTTATCCCACATTTCGTTGATAATATCTTTTGCTGGCAGCTTAGATAGCCCCAGTAAACAATAGTTTTTTCTTTAGTTTCCATCTGAGCCTTGGAAATTAGAAAAATTGCACAAAACAACCAGAATTTAATATTCAGCATAATAGGTTAAATAAATTAAATAATCGCCAAAGTTTGCACCAAGAAAAAATGCGAAACTAGTATTTCCTAAAAAATTTTGCACCGTTTTGGAAAAATTGTAACATTTCTGCCGTTTTTGGATCTAAATTTGATGATTGTTGGGTTTGCTTCATTCTGGGGCGGGTTGTAATCTCACATGTGTTTGCATTAATATCAGAACCCCTAAAAGAATCTCTAAAACTTTGCACCAAAATTTCAACACCCCCATCAGAAGGATGCAAACCATCCGAGCTAAGAGCATCTGTATTTTGACTAAAAATTTTGTTTATGTCTAAAATATCCAATTTTACTTCGCCCAAGTCTTTTACATTCCGTACTAAATTAAGAATTTGCTTGTTTAGCTTCTGTACATTTGGATTAAAATCTTTTCTAAAAGCGCCTAAGGGAGTTACAGTACATAGTGAAATTGTTTCTGGGGAGAATTTATGATTTATGAGATAAATTAGTTTTTCTAAGCTACTCACGGCTTCCTTCGCGTCGAAATCACTTGAGAGGCAGTCATTTATTCCAATTAGCGTAGTTACATGTTTAAAATGTCGCGATTTACTGTTTCTCACGCGTTCCAGCAATGCAGAAATTTTGTGCCCACCAAATCCTCTCGCCAACACATTTTCCGATATTTGTTCCCCATTGATTCTGTTAACAATTGAGTCTCCCAGTAATAGGCCAGAATATTCTCCTTCTCGTGGTAAAAATAAATGTTTTCGTTGCTGGTCGAATTTTTCTTCTTGAATATTGGTTGCTTGTATTTTGATTTCTTGGTTATTCTTGCTTTCTTGGTTATTTTCGCTTCGTTTGTTCTGATTTCTGCTCCGAGTTCCAATCTTGCTCCATTCGTTTTCAAATTTGTTTTCTGTAATTTTCGAATTGCCCGTGTTTTTAAAATTTTCTAGATCAAAAAATTTGTTTCCTCTTTCTTCCTCTTTCGTTGATACAGTTAAGTTTTCGATAATTCGTTTAAAATAAGTAACATTTTCGACTAAGTCTTTATACAGCTCGTATTTCAATTCGTCGTTCAGATTTCGGAAAGTTTCGAGGTCAAACATGTTGGCGATTAAAAGCGAAATTAAAAATAAGACATTAAAATGAACCGACTGATCGCTAGAAATTTAATTTGGTTGTGTGAAGACAATTGTAAGAAATCTCTTTTTTTCTTGTTTTTTGGACGGGACTTTTCCAGCAATAGACATTAAACGCTAAACTAGTACAAAGTACAAAGTCACAGATATGTGAAAAGAATTAACCGGTTGCAGTGCACGTACACAATCGACCTGGTCGCAACTTTAAAAAAAAAATTGTCAACGGATGTACCTTTTAAGCAACAATTAACAAGGTATCAAGATAAAACAATGACATTTGCAGTTTCCACTTTGCTTAATATAGTGTGCCTAATTCGCTATTCATTTGCCTGCCCATCATTCAATCGCCAATTAAAGTGTCTAAAAAGCAAAAACTTTCCTACCGCTTGCTCTTAAGTTCGAGAGAATTTTTTCAGAGAGAAGTGTTCAATTGCAGTGAGGAAGTGCGGCTGAAAATGCTCTGTAACATAATCATTCGCTTTATATGAAGTTTCGTTTTGTTACCAATTTTGCGTTGAAATTAAAACCTGAAAACTAAGTTCACTCTTACCTTCTAAAAATTACATCCCAAAATTCACCTTTCAGTTCATCGTAATTAAAGAGACTTTCTACATGGGCTGTCCATCATAAAGAGTTAAGCGCATGAAATATGATTTGCATGGAAAAATTTTTTTTATCATACGTCGCACATATTTTTTGTAAGCACTCAAAGTAGCTTCTTTTACAAACAAAATTATTAGAAAAACAGTTTCATATAATTACGGATGCGTTTAATTGCGAAGTTTGTAAAAAAAAAACTACCAAGCAAATCATGGGTCGCAACATACACGATACGGCTATGAAAATTTGCGGATTTAGAGGGGGGATTCGATTCCCTAACCATCCCTCAGAGATTTAACCCCCTCACCTCCCAAAGGGTCCCCCTTTTGTACTATCTCATGACTATACCAAAAAACTGTTACAATCCATTTTCAGACCCCGACTCCAAAAATTGTTTAAGGGTGCCGTGGGAACCAATATATAGCAATTTAAAGGGCAAAACAATATACATGGCCCGTTTTTGTTCAAAAATGGTGTTGTTGTTATAAAGTTATTGGGGAGCGCGTAAAATCAGTTTGGTCAACCTAAAAAAAGGTCGACAAAATTTTTCAAAATCTTCTACGAACAACCCCTGATGCAAGCGATAGTTTTTTCCACATATACTGTTAATTGAACTTTTGAAAGCACCATCAAATCAAGCTACTGTTTGTTGCAATTTGATAGTTGTTCCGACTTTCGATACGAAAGTAACGGAATATTTGTGCTCGGGGTGGGTTTTTTTTCTTCAGACAAGTTTCGACTTTACAACTAGTTATTTTTGACGGAATTTTTTTTATCATTCAAAAGGTATTGTTGTCTTGAGCTCAAAATTTATAAGATATTTCAATTTTAATCAATTTTTGCAAAGTTGTGGGGGTTTAAAGATTGCCATGTTGGCCAATTTGGGATAATTAGCGCGCGATATATTTCGCGCTATTAACGCGTAAGCGGAGAGTTAATCCGTCTTAAAATTGTTCCAAATTGGTTGAAAGATGCTTATTTACCATAATTGATTTGTTACAAAGAGCGAAATCTATCCTTTTCTACTTGATATGGCGTGCGGGGAGATGATTTTCATATAAAATTTCAAATTTTAGAAAAAAATTTCATTTTATTTTATTACACTTAATTTTTTTAAATTATTACTGCTCCATAAAACCTTAAAAGCCAGTCGAAACATTCGGGGTTCCACCCTGATACGAGCAGTTTTGTTGTTCCGACTTTCGATACGAAAGTAACGGAATATTTGTGCTCGGGTGGGTTTTTTTTTCTTCAGACAAACTTCGACCTTTTAACTAGCCATTTTTGACGGATTTTTTTTATATCATTCAAAAGGTATTATTGTCCCTAGCTTAAATTTGAAAAGATATTTCCTCTGTGATCATTTTTAGTAAAGTTATGGGGGTTTAAAGATTGCCACTTTGGCCTATTTGTGACAATAAACGCGCGAAATATTTTGCGCTATTAACGCGTAAGCGAGATTTAATTCGTCTTAGAAATCGTTGCAAACTGGCTGAAACAAGCTTATTTGCCATAATTGATTTGTTACAAGGAGCGAAACTTATCCTTTTGTTCTTCATATGGCGTGTGGGGGGATGATTTTCGTAAAAAATTTCAAATTTTAGAAGAAAAAAAATTTTCATTTTATTTTATTACATTTAATTTTCTTAGGTTATTTCTAGTACATAGACCTTAAAAGGCAGTCGGAACAATCAGGGCTTCGCCCTGATACAAGTAGTCTTGTTTGATTTTGTCATGCGTTTTCAGTAGTTTTGCAATGACGAGAAAAACAGAATGCAATCAAACATAAATTGCGTCAGAAATGTTTCCGTTTTTCATCATAGTTTCGTTACTCTGTGAAAAAATTCAACTCTATCAATCTGGTTTGATAAGCGAGTTGCTGACAAAAAGCATGCTGGTCAAAAAGGGAGCTGCAAACGAAATGATGCGCAAATTTTGAGTAGCGACAATATTTTTGTATAAGTTTTTGCCATCAAGCTTAGAAATAGTTTTAGAAAATATACTTTGCTGTATTTGTTAAACTGAATCTGTTTCTATCTCCGATTAGAACCAAACAAGCTCTTGATCGGGTCAATTTGTTAGTTTAAAGATTACCATTTTGGTATATTTTAAATTACCAGTGCGCGCCATTTATTAGTTTTTTCGTTAATGCAGAATGATTAGTGTAATGGGTAATTTAATGTTGCTCGGTAACCGTTGTGGCGCGGAAACCGTCGTTGCAATGATGAAATTTCTGAACTCACTTTTCGTGCAGCATCCAAGACCCGATATTGAAGGAGCAGTGTTGGATGTCATAGGGGAAGTACCTCACTTCCATCTCACACGTCGTACTCTGAATTGTGGGCCTGTAGAAGTTAACCAGTCCCGAATGCATCACCATAATCTTAACAACAATTCCATTCTTCTACCGCAATTTTATAAATTTTGTAATTTTATGAGTTTTGTAATTTTTATGAAATAATGTTAACAAAATGAAAATCCTTAACGAAGCGATTAGCTTGTATCTTAGTCTCTTTCCCTCGACTCATAATTTCTCATTATAAAAAAGACGAAAAAAGGAGGCGCGGTAAAAGATGCCTTAATGGGGGAGTTCATTTCGAGGTCAGCCAGTCCATTCACTGAATTTTGGTAGATGACGTCAGGCAGCCAGATCATGTCTGGACTGACGAACAGCTCCGTCATGTTCTCGTAGTCACTCGGGTCCCACTGCAGGAACTCGTCGAACCAGGTCTACATCAATCAGAATTAATTACATGACATAAAAAGTTAAATTAATAACATCGATTATTTATGTACAATATCTTTCAAGGAAAGTCAGCATGGTTAAATTGCGATTCCGCATATGAACAAACATCTGCTTCGGTTCCGCGCAGAAAATGTTTTTGACATTTTACCAACCTTGCCACTAGCGGAACTCTGAGATTCACTTCAGGTAAATTTTTAATCGCGTTTTTACCTTCAGCTTATTTTAACAATAAGCTGTCAGGTTTCTCGTACACATAACAAAAAAATTGTGTACTGAAAAACAATTATCGTTACTTCGAATTACTAAAAGAAAACTCATCACATCGTTTCAGTGTTCTTGAATGAGTATCTGGCTAACTGTCGGATTACTCCTATAGAGAAGGGGAAATTTTTTTACTGGATGATTGCATTTTTAGAGGATGAGAGGGGGGTGGTACGACTATCAAAAAAGATCTTGAAACTTGACTGCTCTTGACCTGTCTGTGCCAGAGGAACAGTGTCATCTGTTGTGCCTTGACGTCCACATCTATGACCTGTCGGAGTCCGATGTAGAAGTTGACCAGCACACTGTCCTCCTGTTCCAGCCGGGGTCTGATGTAGGAGGAGTAGTTGGAGAACAGGTAGTCGGTCAGAGCTGAAGTTGAGAATAAAGGGGCCCAATAATGATAACAAACAACATGGATTTTCTCCATCTCAAGCTGTAATTTGTAAAAGCTGTAAGCAAGAGTACCAGTTATCTGGAGGGTTTCGAAAGAGCATTTCAGCTCATTAAATGGACACCAGAAAAACTTAAATCCAGTGATCATTCAGACCAAGTTCCGATTTTCCAGAATGATTCAAATAATAAGATGAGAATTATTCAAATTTTTACTCATTTTTGAAAAACATGGGAAGAATCTTGCCGCCGAATATATTAAATTTGAGACTGCTGGCGGTCAAAATGTTATGTAGAAGTTTATGTCTAGCTGATATCAATCCGCCAGCGTTATTGTTCCGACCATTGAAAATGGGGAGGAACTTTAGATTCGGGTGTGTTTTAGTTTTTTTCCACGCAAAATCAGCTACCACAAATAATCATTAGACAGGGTTGAGTGATATATCATATTACATCCTTTTCAGTTGTTATTTGTAGGGAAAATTGTGACGATATTAAAAATTTTAAAAAAAAGTTTTCAGTGTCGAAAAAAACCGGCTTAAAATTTTTATTTTTGGTCTAATTTCGAGCTAATCGTTAAGATTGAAAACTTATTTTTACTCAGGTAAAGGTAATTTTTGGAGTTTTTAGCGCAATTATGGGAATCAAAAACTTGAAATTCAAAAAAAAATCCGCAAAAAAGTTTGAAAAAGTTTTTGAATTTTTTTTCATTTTTTTTTTCGTTTTTCTGGTCATTTTTCTTGAAAAACAGTTTTCCAATTTAATTACTTTATTGACTCTCAAATACGCCTAAATTCCATTGTTTTGTTCAGATTTTTTATCACAACATGCAGAAAAAAAACTACACCAATTTGAGAAACATTTTTGTATTATTGTAAGACTGTGGTCGGAACACTCTATGCTACTGTGAGAACACAGAATCCGGCTATACTTGTTTATTTTTTATTTTGTCGACGTCGACAAAATATCTTTAATTACTGCTCGTTAGAACCCCTCATAAAAATTTTTGTCAAATTTCGATATTTTTTCTCAGAAGTTTTTCAGAAAAAAAGGAAGACATATTGAACTTTTTCGTCGTCCAACGTCTTTCATAAATTTTTCTAAAATTTTCAAAAAACATTCAAATTAGCAATTTTTTTTCATCACAAGATAAGCGATGAAAAAACATACAAAAATTTACATATTCTTTTCACAAAAGATAATTTTTCAGTTTTGGGTCTCCAGATCTTTTTAAATGTTAATGGCCCATCAATAGTTGTTCTACACAACTATAAATGGAAAAACAAGTTTAAATTGTAACTTATTTCAAAGCTTAAGTGCAACGAAGTTGAATCTACTGGACTGCAGGTGCATGCAAAATGCAATAAGCAAAGCGAAAACTAAGTAAGTTTTTGCCTTTTGTCCAGTTTTTTTACTTCCTCGGGCCGAGGGTATCAATTTTTATATATATATATATATATATAAAAAACATCGATCAAAAATTGTTTTTTTTTCTGAAACTACTAAGAGCTTCATTAATGCTTCCAGCTGCTCATTTTACTCTGGAAGCTGCTGTTCGAAAGCAAATCATTTTTGCCCACAATAAGCTCATTTGATTCTGAGTAAATTTGTTTTTAAGCTGTTTTTTTGTCAATTTTTTTTCACATGTTTTGTTTCTTCGAAGTTTTGTTATTGTCGTATCAATTTTCCCAAAATCCTTTAATTTTTGGTTTTGCTTGCGATTACTTGTGGCGCAAAGCTTAATGTTCTGGCTTTCGCAGCTAAATAGAGCCTTCCGCAACTATTTTCCAGACAATCGTTTTTTCTTGTTGTACTCTTCTTCCACCCCCCCCCCCTAAATGATGAGAAACTAAGATCAAAATTGATTCCATATTTCTAAGAAAAGCAGGAAAGGCCATAACAGAGCAATTTCATCTAATTTTGCGTCAAACGGTTTTTTCTTTTTTTTCTACAATTTTCTCTACAAAAGTTTCCAATATGAAACCAAATGCGTTGCAGTTTCGAAGACAAGTCAAAGCTCAAAAAATTAGCACTATTATAAAAAAAACGGTAAGACGACTGTGAAACAAGCATACTTTCAAAAGGCCCAAAAACGATCGCACTCGCAAAAAGACTAGCACGTTAAGCGTTGAAAATTTTTTTAAAAAAAAACGTTAGAAAGAGCAAGATTCTTTGGGATCTCATAACTAATTCGGTTGATTAATCGAGCACCCATGGATCATAATCGGTTATATTGTCAATATATGACCAGTAACTATGAAATTACAAAATAATTAATGATAAAAGAATAAAAACGGATTTTAATTTTGTTAGTATTAATGTCAACATTATCCATTACAACCTTAACTTTTTTATGTTAAAAAAGCCAGTATAATCAACTATAATCGATTATAATGGATTTTTTAGAAATTGCTCATGAAATTTGCAAAATTTTCCCAGCTTTCCTATTTCCTGATTGGTGCTGTTGCTACGCATTACGCTTCAGAAATTGTTACATTTCACATAAGAAATTAGCGCCAATCAAGGGGGGGTAGAATATTTGAATGGGGGGTAAGAGTGTAATTATTCAATGATAGAATTGGGGAATTTAACGATTGAACCCCCTTCCCGCCCCCCCCCCCTCAGTCCCTCCCAGTCCCTCCCAGTCCCTCCCAGTCCCCCCAGTCCTCTTCCCAAAGTCCCCCCAGTCCTCTTCCCAAAGTCCCCCCCCCCCCAGTAGCCCCCCAGCTCCATCCATCTCCCAGTTCCCCCAGTCCCCCCAGTCTCTCCAGTTGTTTACCAGTTTACCAGTTTACCAGTTTACCAGTTTACCAGTTTACCAAGACAACCATTCGACATTTACAAAATTCTGGGGGTAAAAATTTCTCTGAGAGGGGGAGGGGGGTAAACTGTAAACTGGGGGGGGTTGGTTATTCTTTTTAAGCATGGCGAAAAGACATGGCATACTTCGCAGAAAATAAGTCGTATTTTGTAAATGACATGGCATAAATTTTCGAATTTCTTCAAAACTAGTAGCATTCAGTTCTAAAAAGAAAATGGATTAGAATCGATTCTATTGGATCATAAGGGATTTTTTTTCAAAAATAATCGATTTTAATGGATTATCGTGGCAAAAACAATTGATTTCTGATCTAAAAACAATGGATTATAATCGATTATAATGGATTGTAGTGAAATTTTTTGTTTCCAAAATAATCGATCATAATAGCATTAAAATCAGGGGCGGATCTAGTTTTTTCTCGAGAGGGCAGATTTTCAAAAAATTTTCGAAAATGTTGTCTTCTTTTTTTAAGTCAACCAAATTGATTTTTCGAGCTCTCCCAAAGCATTAAAAAGACCCTATTTTGGTCAACTTGTCTGCGCCGCAGGCAAAAAATTAAAGAAACAGGCCAAAATTTGAGCTCAAAGAAACGATCTTCACCCCGAAAATTAGTTTATATTGGCGCCGAAGACGCCTTCAGAAATTTTTTAAGGTCCGTCACCAAATATGGATATCTCAAAATAGTACAAAAGGGGGACCCTATGGGTTGGCACGAGTCGAATCCATGGGTGGGGGGCTTCCGCCCCTGAATATAATCAATTGATGCCTGAATTTTATATTTGTAGCGGATTGTAATGAAATTCTTTTGTCTCCATTATAACGGATAAGAGTCCATGGGGGCACGTGTTGCGGATTGCCCAGCGCCTCACGCAACATATTATGGCAGACTCTTTAATTGTTCCGATTTTTCGTGAAAATTATATGCTTGGGTTGATTTTTTTAAATTAAAACCACTTTACAAAGAAAGTTCACATCGTGCGGGGGTTAATTCAGAGCTTTTCCTATTGTCAAGCGAGTATGCTTGCACTATTGTAAGTTAGGTTAAGACTAAACAAGACTGTTCGTATCAGGTCAACACCCTGAAATTTCCAATCGCCATTAAACGTATATGCAGTAGTGATCAATTTAAAAGCAATTGATGAAATGTTCAAAAAGATTGGAAAAAATCTTGAGAAATTTTTTCACTTTTTTAAATCATATCCCCACAAGGTTTTTAAAGAACAAAGTTAAATTTTCAGCCTATAGTAACGTAATAATTTGAATGTATAGCATGCCTCAATTGAGTTATTAGTTTCAAATTTTCAGCCTATTCCATTACTTTCGTATATATCGATACGAAAGTAACGGAATATTTGTGCTCGGGGTGGGTTTTTTTTCTTCAGACAAATTTCGACTTTTTAACTAGCCATTTTTACGGAATTTTTTAATATCATTCAACAGGTATTGTTATCCTGAGCCTAAATTTGAAAAGATATTTTACCTGTGATCATTTTTCGTAAAATTATGAGGGTTTAAAGATTGCTATTTTGGCCAGTTTGACCAATTTGGGACAATTAACGCGCGATATAATTCGCGCTATTAACGCGTAAGCGGAGATTTAATCCGTCTTATAAATCGTTCCAAATTGGTTGAACCAAGCTTATTTGCCATAATTGATTTGTTACAAGGAACGAAATCTATCTTTTCGTACTTTAAATGGCGTGTGGGGATTGAATTTCATAAAAAATTCAAATTTAAAAAAAAAATTTCATTTTTTTCATTTCATTTAAATTTTTTATATTTTTACTGCTGCTCCATAGACCTTAAAAGGCAGTCGGAAAATTCAGGGCTTCGCCCTGATACGAGCAGTCTTGTTGATTTTTCAACCGGAATAAAATGCCGCTTACGCGTTAATAGCTTGAAATATATTGCTCGTCAATTGGCTA